CGGTGGTTCCCCCCGCGGCCGCTGGATCTAAATATCTAAATATCTAAATAGCTAAAACCTCAGTCTCGCCGATTTAGCCATTTAGATATTTAGATATTTAGATCGGCGGTTCACCCCGCGGCCGCTGGATCTAAATATCTAAATATCTAAATAGCTAAAACCGCAGCCTCGCCGATTTAGATATTTAGATATTTAGATCGGCGGTTCCCCCCGCGGCCGCTGGATCTAAATATCTAAATATCTAAATAGCTAAAACCGCTGTCTCGCCGATTTAGATATTTAGATATTTAGATATTTAGATCGGCGGTTCACCCCGCGGCCGCTGGATCTAAATATCGAAATCTCTAAATAGCTAAAACTGCAGCCTCGCCGATTTAGATATTTAGATATCTAGACATTTAGATCCCGCGTCCGCGGGGCGAGCCACCGATCTGGATTTCCAAACACCTGGAACCGCAGTTTGGCCGACTTAGCTATTTAGATATTTAAATATTTAGATCCCGCGGTCGCGGGGCGAGCCACCCACCTGAATACCTGAACGCTTGAAAACCACGGCCTCGCCGATTTAGGTATTTAGATATTTAGATCCTGTGGCCTCGGGGCGAACCGCTGATCTGAATTCTAGATATCTAAATACTTGAAACCACGGCCTCACCGACTTCTGCAGGGCGATTGGCGGCGCGGCCGACAAGCGCCTGGCCGCGGTCTTCCGCAGTCACGGCAAGATGGGCCGCTCCACGGATGCCTTGATGGACTTGGAAGCCGGCGCTTCTGCGAGTTCGCTGGCTGAGGTGCAGCTACCTCTCGCCTCCGCAGATCCATCTGAGGTCGACTTGGCCTCGTTGTCCGAGCGCGATGAGGACGTCGACGAGTCCGACGAGCCGACGTTTCTGGAGATGTTCTGCAGCATTCTGGGTAAGGAGGCTGCGGACTACCATGCCGAGATCGGTACCTCTCGATCTCGCGCTCACTGCCGCTGCGCCCTGTGCCCGTGGCGATCGCTCAGCCGCCGCGAGCAGCTCATCGAGCACCAGAAGCACCACTGGCCCCCTAAGTTCATCGCGTCTCGCGAGGACGATGCCCTCTTCAATGTCGCCATGTCACTTTACAGGTTCGACCGCGTCTGCTCGGTGGTTAATCGGGCGGCGCAGAAAGACGGCGGCTACCTGGCCCGCGCTGCCGATTTGCTTCGAGCGTGGAATCGCGGCGCTCCTGCGGACGCGCTGAAGGCTGCGAGCCGCTCCAACAAAGCCCACCTCGCGTTCGTGTTAACGAAGGCGGGCCCGCGCTACTGGTTGCGTGCCAAGTGCGCTGGCTGAATTCGCATTACCCCCAAGGTCTCGTACACCAAAGGCTTCGAGGACTCGCTGGTTAGCCACACTTTGGTCTCGCGCGGAGCGATGAGCGGCGTGCTGGACCATCTCCACAGGCAGTGGTCCCGCGACGGAGAGTCGCCATTCTTGGCCTGCCGCCCACACCTCTTGCGTGAGCTCATGGACCACGTGTTCCGCCACCCCGACGGCCTGGTTCAGCATGCGGCACGACGGCTCATGGCAGAGGAGGTCGCCCTGGGAGAATTCACAGCGCTTACCCACGACGGCACCTTCAAGTTCCTGTTCTCCGTCATTGGCCCGAAGAAAATGGACCAGAAAAAGGGCGGGATCCACGTCGGGCACACGCTGATGGGAATGACGGGAGCTTGCCCTGGATTTAGCGTCCAGCCCGACGAGGGCATGGAGAGCTTCGGCGCAGCGGTGAAGGAGCGCTTGACCCCCGCCGCAATCGAGCAGGTGCGGATGCTGTACTCCGACGCACCGAGTGAGAAAATGCTGGAGCATTTGCCGAGGTGTCTCGGCGTGGCGCAAGACAGGTTGCACATTGCCTTGCGGGCTGAGCAGTGCACGGACGGCAAGAGGACGGCTTGTTCATTCGAGTTGCTGCAGCTCACCAGGAAATTATCCCGTCCTCTCGGCGTGTCTGAGGGCAGCCTGGCGAAGGAGATCTACCATGGTTCCCCGATGGCTGAGGTGGCTTGGGACGACGTGCAACCCGCGCGCGAGCGCGTCGACCGCGACTGGAATGATTTCTGCAACCAGCCATTCTCTTCGCACGCGGAGTACGTGGCCGAGTTGAAACGCATTGTCCAGAAGCACGACAACATGATGGACAAGAAAAACTCCAAGGGTGTGACGCTCCGCAAGGTCCTGATGAACGCAAGCTCCACGAAGAACTACTACTACCTGCGCAATAGCTCGGTGTTCGCCCAGCTCTCTCGCGGGCAGCTGATCGTCCAGGGCACGCCGCAGAACGAGGCCGAGCACAGGACTCTGAAACGCTGGGCATGGTGCGTCTGGCAGCAGCACGAAGATCGCGTCCACGTGCTGAAGGAGGTCTACGCCCTGTACCGCTTGCTCGTCCATGCCGCCCAGCGCGAGCAGCTCGGCACGCGGCTTCCACCCCTGCGGCTCGCGCAGATCGTGGCAGGCCAGATCGCTGCTGGCGGTCTCAGGGGCAATCCTGGGAGAAGCGAGGCGCCGCCTGCTCGAGAGGATGGCCCAGGAGTTTCGGTGCCCAACGGAGAAGGCCCGAAGCGCAGTGCACTCAAGAGGTCCGTTGTCAAGATGGACGCCGAGTTGGCTGCGAAACAGCAGGACGGCAAGAAGAAGCGGGCCGCTTCGTGGAGCAAGGCCACAATGGCAAAGAAGAAAAAACCGTGGGGGCACAAAAAGAGAGCAGCGCAATCGAGGAAGGCAACGCCCTCGACGGTGCACGCCGTGGTCGAGGAGGTTGCGGGGCTCCAGGCCTAATGCGTCAAGATCAGCTTGGCCTGAGATCAGGCCATTCGGCCTGGTCCGGTCTGGGGCCAGGCTAGCACTCACCATTCTTTACTGCACAGCCAGACGACTGTATGAGCTGGGCTGCTAGACGTGAAACCTTCAACCATCAACATCCCTTTCCTCATCGCTACGGCAAGCCATGCCATACACCAGATTCGCGACAATTGATGCAGTTCGGATGCGTTTGCATGAATGCCAGACTTCACGTACATACCTGGATCTGCAGATCTGGGTTTGTTAAGGTTGTTGCAAAGCGATCCTTCAAACACACCCAAAACAGCTCTTGCTCACTAAGGCTTTTCCAGGGCCAGAAACCTGGTATATAGCAAGAGAGTTTTCTCTGGTTCCGAATCAACTTCCGACCTTATCTGGATCTTTAGATGTTTAGATATTTAGATTTTTCTGGGTGAGCGTCTTGGGCCGAATGGTCCGGGATCCGGCCTTTCACGGGGGGGGACGGGTTTTCCCCCCGCCCGGGCTTGTAAAAATATAGAAAGAGGAATATCGAGCCTCTTGACGCAGCGACGTGGGACACACCGCGTTCGGGACATAACGGGCCATCGGCTAGCCAATTGCACGCCCGCCCCGCTGGAACGGCCAGGGAGGGCGGCCTCGGAAGGGGGCCGAGAACGGGGCCGCGCCCAGGGCTGGAAGTCCTTCACGCACGGTGCTGGCGGCCTCGGCCTCCACAAGGGAGTCGTGCAGCGGAGGCGGCACCTTGGCTGACCATGGAGTTCCCGACCATCCCGTACGAGCACGGGCGGGTATGATGGACAAGTTTTCAGTTTTCCACCACCACCACCACAGGTAGGAGAGAGGAGGGAGGAGGGAGGAGGGAGGAGGGAGGAGGGAGGAGGGAGGAGGGAGGAGGGGAGGAGGAGGGAGGAGGAGGAGGAGGAGGAGGAGGAGGAGGAGGAGGAGGAGGAGGAGGAGGAGGAGGGGGAGGAGGAGAGGAGGAATGGGCACGAGCGGGGACGTGTGCGACAGAGGCCTCGGGCATAACTGCGATCCGCACGCACGCACGGCGCTCGAAGCTCTGCTTCATCGACGCTGCCCTCGCATCCTTGTCTGCTCGGCCCACGGCTTTGGTCTGCCGCCGCTGCAACGACTTCAAAGTGTACACCCTGCGAAATGCTTAAGAAATCATGGGTTAAGAAATTCATAGTCTCAGAACTTGAATAAAAACCCAACATGTCTATTAAAATCTTAGGACTTACATTGAAACGTTAAGAATAATCGAGACTCTGGCCGAAAACTTGGGTTTTCTTAAGCATCGCCTGAGGTGTACGTCCCAAGGTCTGGTGCCCTTGCGCCATTCGCCCTGTGTTCTGACGGGGCGTACGTCGACGGACATTCCCATACCGTGTAAGGTTTTCGACAGGACAAGCAGTTTGGGGCCCAGCTGGGAGATACACGATGGGGGGCGCCCATCCTCGATTGGGGTGCGTCCCAACATGCCTCCAGGGTGTATCCCCGAGTTGGCAGCAACCGAACTTGGCAAGGCAAAACAGCCAAGCTGATTCAGGTGCAACCAGAGAGGGACAGGCCCGACTTACGATTGAGGGTAGGGGCAAGACGCTGAAGTAAGGAACAATTTGGATTCGGAAGGGGCTCGATGCTCCTTGCGTCCTTCCGTGGTTGTTCCTCTAGCCCTTCTCGTGCACCCAGGCTTTTTTGAAGCAACAGAGGGCTTCGTTCCTTACTTAGCGTTCCTTATTTCAGCAGCCCGACTGTACAGTCAAGACGCTGAAATGAGGAGCAGCTTGGGTTCGCAAGGGGCTCGATGTTCCTCCAGCTTCCTCCAGTGCTGCTCCTCTTGCCCTCCTGGGGCACGGAGGCGCTTACAGGGCCAAGAAGGGGTTTCGTTCCTTCGGGGATGGACAGACCCCCCGTTAGTAAAACGTGGTTTAGTGAAAACGACCTGAGGCCGCGGCGCCCTCTCGAGAACCAAAAACGGACAATTCACCAATCGACGTGTCAGGGTAGGAGGTCTGTCCACCTCAGCAGCCCGACTGCAGGGGCTCCTCCTCCTCCTCCTCCTCCTCCTCCTCCTCCTCCTCCTCCTCCTCCTCCTCCTCCTCCTCCTCCCTCCTCCTCCTCCTCCTCCTCCTCCTCCTCCTGCAGGGGCCGGTCCGGCGATGCCGAACCGCCGCGGCGCGCTGCCTCCGCGCGCGGCGGAGCGAGCGCAGGCGGGGCCGCGGCGAGGCGGGGACCGGCGAGGCGGGCGCCGGCGAGCGGCGCCGGAGCGAGGCGAGCGCCGCGGCCGTCGGAGGCGTCCGCGGCGGGCGCGCCTCGGGCGGCAGGGAGCGGGCGGCGGGGAGGAGATACGCGGGCCTCCTCCTCCTCCTCCTCCTCCTCCTCCTCCTCCTGCTCCTCCTCCTACTCCTCCTGCTCCTCCTCCTGCTCCTGCTCCTCCTCCTGCTCCTGCTCCTGCTCCCCCTCCTCATCCTCCTCCTCCTGCTGCTCCTGCTCCCCCTGCCCCTCCTCATCACCATCATCATCATCATCATCATCATCATCATCATCATCATCATCATCAGCAGCAGCAGCAGCAGCAGCAGCAGCAGCAGCATCAGCATCAGCATCAGCATCAGCATCAGCATCAGCATCAATCATCATCATCATTATCATCATCAGCATCATCATCAGCATCATCAGCATCATCATCGCCATCATCATCATCGTCAACATCACCATCACCATCACCATCAGCATCCGCATCATCACCGTCATCATCATCAGCATCACCCACAACCTCCTTATCCTAATCCTCCTATTTTTGTTCCTCTTCCTGCTACTTCTCCTGCTACTCGTGCACGGCCTAATATTCCTCGTACGCCTCCTCGTTTTCATTGTCCTCCTCCTCTTCGCAGAGCTGCTGCTCCTCCTCCTCCTCCTTCTCCATTCCTTCTTCTTATCACTAATTTCTCCCTGTCGCACCCCGAGGTCAATTTTTAGGGCTGGCAGGGCGTTTCGCCGGAAACTTCAGCTTCATGGATGGAGAGCGGGTGGTTTTCAAAATGGTGGCTCTCGCCTTAGCGCCGCGCGCACTCGTCTGACAAATTTGCGAGAGCCTCACCGATTGAAGGCGGGTCGTCTTCAAAATAGTGGCTCTCGCCTGGCGCCGCGCACATTCTTTTGAACAATTCGCAAGGGTTTCACGGATTCAGGGCGGGTGGTTTTCAAAATGTGGCTCTCGCCCTGGCGCCGTGCACATGCGTTTAGAACACGGGCACAAAAGTTTCACGGATTGAAAGCGGGTGGTTTTCAAACTGTGGCCCTCGCCTTAGCGACGCGCACATTCGTATTAAACATTTGCAGGTTTCACGGATTAAGATCGGGTCGTTTTCAAAATGTGGCTCTCGCCTCAGCGCCGCGCGCATCCGTTTTTAACAATTGCAAGAGTTTTAGAATTGGAGGCGGCTCCTTTTCAAAATCTGGTTCTCGCCTTCGCAACGCGCACATTCGTTTAAACAAGTTGCAAGAATTTCACGGATTCCCATGATCAGCATACCAGAAAAATGCGTTGGAAGGGTTGAGGATTATGAGGGCGCAACAGTTACGTGGATTCGCGGTGTTGAACTCCCAGGAATGGCGTTCTGACACGATGCAGGATCGCCAAGACGCAACAGTCAGATTGATCCGTGGCGTTGGAAACCCGAGAACGATGCTTTGGCTTGCATCAGGGTCTTCAAACGGTTGTCTTCCAATGAATCAGTTCCCTCGATGGAACTGAACCCTTGTGGGGCCTATGAAGACTGCTGCGGGGGGGCGCGGGGGGGCCGAGCGGCAGCCAAGAGCTCGCGTGGCTTCGGGGGCTCCAGCCCGGACAATGGAACCCTGCTGCGGGTCCACGGCCAGGACGTCCCGACGCCGGGCGGCTTCATCCAGCAACCTCCCCCTCCTCGCTTCACTCGTCGCCGTCGCCGTCGTAATCGTCCTCGCGGTGGTTGAACCGCCATCGTGACCGCTGTCGTCTGTCGTCTTCGCCGCCTCCGCCCCAAACATCCTCCGATATGAATTTTCCAACACGCGGCTCTGCAAAGCTCCCGACACCTGTTCCGGGGGTGTGCTGGAACTGGGGATCTACTGATCTGGGTCAATTCAGACCCGGGTCAGTCAGGCTTTGCAAGATCCTGCAGGGGAATGCAGGATCCTGCACCCCAAGCTCAGGCCAGTGTACCCCTGGTTCTGCAGGATCCTGCAAGATCCGGCGCTCTGACTGACCCTCCTTTTGCATTGACCGCCGTCTCTTGAACCCCGATGGAAACTTTTCTGATGGCCCCTGGCCCCAGAAGCTATCCCTAAAGGCCGAATAGAAGGAAAACCGCCGCGACTGAGATCATCACAACGTCGGACAGAGGTCTGGGTATCCGCCGTCTTCGCCGCCGCTGCCGCGGTCGCCCGCCCAGAACCCGTGTGTTGAGCAGGGACCGGCCGTCCCGGCATTCCTAAAGTCCTACCACGAAATGTTCTTAGAACCCAATAAGGATCTATCTAAAAATCAAAACTATCCCAGTGCGACCCTACCTAGGAGTTGGAGCCTCTAGGAAAGCAACAGTAGTAGGAGCGGTAAACGCCGTCCTCCTCCTTCTCCTCATCGTCGTAGTTGTAGTTGTAGTTGTAGTTGTAGTTGTAGTTGTAGTTGTAGTTGTAGTAGTAGTAGTAGTAGTAGTAGTAGTAGTAGTAGTAGTAGTAGTAGTAGTAGTAGTAGTAGTAGTAGTAGTAGTAGTAGTAGTAGTAGTAGTATAGTAAAGTAGTAGTAGTAGTCGTAGTCGTCGTAGTCGTAGTCGTAGTCGTAGTCGTAGTCGTCGTAGTCGTCGTAGTAGTCGTAGTCGTAGTCGTAGTCGTAGTAGTAGTCGTAGTAGTAGTAGTAGTAGTAGTAGTAGTAGTAGTAGTAGTAGTAGTAGTGGTAGTAGTAGTAGTAGTAGTAGCAGTAGTAGTAGTAGTAGTAGTGGTAGTAGTAGTAGTAGTAGTAGTAGTAGTAGTAGTAGTAGTAGGAGTAGGAGTAGTAGGAATAGTAGTAGTAGTAGTAGTAGTAGTAGTAGTAGTAGTAGTAGTAGCAGTAGTATTAGTAGACGAAAAAGTAGTGCGCTATGCTATGTTATGCTATGCTATGATATGCTATGTTATGATATGATATGCTGCGCAATGCTATGCTGGGCTAGGCTAGGCTAGGTTAGGCTATGCAATGCTATGCTGCGCTATGATATGCTGCGCTATGCTATGCTATGCTATGTTATGAGTTTGCTGTGCCTTCGCGTTTGCCTTCACTTTTGCCTTTGCTGTTGTTTTTGCTTTTGCCTTTGCTCGGCACCCAGGGAGCGCAACTGGGGGAACCACGCGTTTGCTTTTACCTTTGCTGTTGCGTTTGCTTGGCTCCCAGGGGACTGACTGGGGGAACCGCCCGGGGCGGGTTACACTGCCCGCCCCCTTTAAGCTAGAAAGTAAGAACCCTTCTAGGCAGAGCCTAGGTAGGGAAATACTTGGTCATAACCTCATACACCTCCCGAGGCAACTCACATCCCAAGTCACTGTCCTCCTCCTCCTCCTCCTCCTCCTCCTCCTCCTCCTCCGCTTCCTCCTCAGCGTCCTCCTCCTCCACCTCGTCCTCCTCCTCCTCCTCCTCCTGCTCCTCCTCTCTTGGAGCACTCTTGGGTGCGTCTTGGTCCTTTGGAATTATATTGGGGGCCTCTAGGGAGGTATGGCCCTCTCTTGGAGCCCTCTTGGGTACTTCTTGGGCCCTGTTGGGGAGGCTCTTGGGTCCTCTTGGGGCCTCCGACTGCTCATCTGCATCCGTGTGCGGGGCTAGTTTGGAGACTCTCGGACGCATGCCGTCTCAGAAATATTTCGGGGCCAATATGAAACAATGGTGGTCTCGGCCTCTTCGGAGCCTCTCTTGGAGCACTCTCGGAAGCCTGTTGGCGCCCTGCTAGCAATCTCGGGGGCCGTCTTGGAGGGACGGGCTCACTCTGCGAGTTCGGGTTCCACCTTTTGGAAGGTTTGGGGGGGCTCTCGGCCTGTATTTGAAAGTTGGAATCGCGAAAGAGCGAGAACACGGTAACAGCTGAAAAGCCGTATTGGAAATCCGCCGACCCCTTGGGGTCATCGGCGTGTGAGATGCTTCCCCCCTCCCCAAACCCCTCCCCCCGGAGCCTGGTCCGGTCGTTTTGGAGGGGGGGGGGGGGGGTCCGGCCGGATTCCCCGGGATCCGCCGGCGCGGTCCGGGGGGGGTCATCCGCTCCAGAGAGTCTGCTGGGGGGGCCGCAAACGAGCGAAGAGGCTCCCAAGAAGCTCTGCAGACGGTCCAAGAGGGCCCCGAGTCGCCGAAAAAACACTCGAAGACGGTCAAGATGGCCTCCAGATGGCCCCAGATGCCTCCAAGACGCCCCAAGAAGCTTCCAAGACGCCTCCCAAGATGGCCCCAAGAGGCCAAAATCGTCGATTTCCATTGGTTTTTTCAACGTTTTTGGCCTTCGCGTTTTTTCGGGCTTCCGACGCTCCAAGACGGCGAAAGAAGCCCCCAAGACGGCATCAAGACGACCCGAGAGGCTCCCAAGTGGGCCCCAACACGGCCCAAGAGCGCCTCAAAACGGCTCAAGAGGGCCTTCAGACAGTCCAAGAGGGCCCACAGAGGGGCCCAAGAAAGGCTCCAGACGGGGACCACGAACCTAAAAAGTAGAAAGGCTTCTAGTCCCTAGGCTGCCTCCCTTCCAATTCCAAGAGGCTCCAAGAAGCCCCCAAGAGGCCCCCAACAAGCCCAAAAAAAGCCCCAAGCTGCCCCAAAACAGCTCCCCAGAAGCCTCCAAACTGCCTCCCGCAGGCCCCCGAGAGGATTCTCACGACGACGGCGCCAGAGGCTCCCACAACGGTCAACGACGCCCCCAAGATGGCCCCAAAAAGGTGCCCAGCCTACGCCGTCGAGTCTGTCGCCGCCACTGTCGACGGCCCACGAAGGCACCAAGAGGGGCCCAAGAGGACAACAAATAATTCAAAAATCTAGCCTTCCGCCCCCACGAGAGTGCCCCAAGAGGCCGCCAGAGGCCCCCAAGAGGCCGCCAAGACGCCCCAAGCAGTCCCCAACAGGCTCCCAGGAGGCCTCCAAAAGACCCCCAGACGCTTCCGCATTGCGAGCCGTCAAGCCAACTGCAATGCACTCCGCGCATGCAGCCTTGCTCTTCCTCGCGACGTGCTCACAATCTTGCTCGGCGCTAATGTGCTGCTGCTACGCGAACTGTTTCGCGCGCGCTGCAAACGTCAACAGCCTCTTCACCCGTTTCGACTCATCTGC